CCCCAGATACTAATACTATGAGATTATAAAAAGGGAGTTTCTGCAATTTATCACTAAAAGTTCCACTTAGAGGAAGAAGTTTACTGGTAACAACTAAATGGATCATAGAAGAATTAATGCAAGGAAAAAACTAAACTCTTCAACCACCAAAGTATCTGAATTTATGAGTTAGGTGATTGGACAGAATTTAGTTTCCAACATTTATGACAAACCATGTTCAGGTGCTGACTAAGTGGAAATGGCAATATACTTATAGCTTTAGAAATTGATTGTGATGGAACTTATCTTAAAATCTAAGAATCTAAAGTTATTATCAGATCCTAAAGTAAATAAAAGAAAACAGCAGAGTATGAGTATACATGAGCAGTTTCTAGGGCTGCAATCATTGAAAATGACAAATCAAATATTTGACTTTTTACCACCTACAACAAATGATAGTGGCCCTGATTCCAATGTGTTCAAGTTTCTTGTTTCAACATGTGGTGTGAACGGTGTAGACAGCTACTCCCTCCGTTTCAATTTATGTGAACCCATTTGAGTGGGCACGAAATTTAAGAAAAGAGAGAACTTTTAAACTGTGTTGTAAAATGAGGGCACATATATTTTGTGTGGCTATAAATCATTGCATAAAGGTAAATTGTTTCCAAATAAGGAAAGGTGTCATTCTTTTTGGCACGGACCAAAAAGGAAATAAGTTCACATAAATTGAAACGGAGGTAGTATATTATTTCCCTAGTTTTCAACATATGTATCTAATGAGGGCCCTCTACCAAGTACAGATGAGTCCTGCAATTATCTGTTAGATTACTACAGACCACAAGATAAATCACAACCAGGAATAAATTTCAAAGAAACCAGAATATGACTACCACTTGCTATGTTGGATCTAAACACATTGAATAATCTTTGTATCCATTCAAGATATTTGTTTTGAGCTTTTCCACTCATAGTGTCCTATGATACTTTTGGTCGTAAATTGTGGCCGTATGTACAAGCGCTAGAGCACGATAACATATGCTCCCCGAACCGTTAAGGTTTCATCCGCTTGAATTTGGATAGCTTTAAGGTTCCAATATCCAGCATTACAGTGTTGAGATGTAAGTTGCACCATGTATTGAAACTTAGGCTAAAAATATAAACAGAGAAGTTTATTAGTATATGTTTTTTTCTCGACACATTTCCTGTTTCCGGCTTTTAATCATTGACCATATATTCTATTGCAGGCCAATATCTGATGTTTCTAGTGATCTTACAATAGAAGTAGGAGCTGCCAGTTTTGCTCTTCACAAGGTACAAATATGAAGTATTAGATCATTCGTCTTCTCGTGTATTTTGATCTACCAATCTTTTCAAAATTGGAATGCTCAAGTCTATCAAAAGCATAAATTTTGCAAAGAAATGGCTGTCTAATGTAGCTTGAAAATGATTTATAAGTTAGCTGTTATAAGTAGGCAACTGATATTAGGACAGTCGTGTCCACATCGGAATTTATTTCATGGTGTCAAAATAGGGAGGGAAAAGAAAAGTAAAAAGGCAGATGTAAAAACAGAACTTAAGCATCAGTCTGAAGGTCAGAAACAACAGCTGAAGTTGTTTCAATGTAGTGGATCTTAGACTAAGTTATGTGCTTCCTGTTAAAATTAAGAAAAATGAAGGAAGAATACCTTGGAAACATTTCTAATGTGATTGCTAATATCACACTGTTTGCAGTTTCCTCTAGTTTCCCGAAGCGGAAGAATTAGAAAGCTGCTGCTAGAGGCAAAGGATACAAAGATTTCAAGACTCAATCTTACCGGTCTTCCTGGCGGATCTGATGCATTTGAACTTGCTGCTAAGTTCTGTTATGGCGTGAACGTTGAGATTACCATATCAAACGTGGCGATGCTAAGATGTGCATCCAAGTTCATGGAAATGAACGAAGACATCTCCGAGAAAAACCTGGAAATTCGTACTGAAGTATTCCTTAAAGATACAGTATTCACAAACATATCCAACTCGATATCTGTTCTTCATCGCTGTGAAACACTACTACCGGTATCTGAAGAAGTCAATCTCGTTAGTCGATTAATCAATGCAATTGCAAACAATGCTTGTAAAGAGCAACTAACATCTGGTTTGTCAAAGCTGGAGCATAACTTCCCACCCAAACCTGTTCAAAGCCTTGATTCTGAGACACCAATAGACTGGTGGGGAAAATCATTGACTGTGCTAAATCTAGATTTTTTCCAGAGAGTTGTATCTGTAGTGAAGTCAAAAGGTCTTAAACAAGACATTATCAGCAGAATTTTGATAAATTATGCCAAAAATTCACTTCAGGGACTTTTCATCAAGGATCCTCAGTTGGTTAAAGGAAGTTTCTTGGATTTGGATTTGCAGAAAAGGCAAAGGGTTATCGTCGAAACAATAGCTAGCTTACTACCAACACAATCCAGGAAAAGTACAGTCCCAATGGCTTTTCTTTCAAGTTTGTTAAAATCTGCAATAGCAGCATCAGCATCCACTTCTTGCAGATCTGATCTAGAGAGGCGCATTGGTCTGCAGCTAGATCAGGCAATTCTAGAAGATATTCTCATACCTGCAAATCCACATGGGAACAACCACAGCCCTCTCTACGACATAGATTCTATTTTGAGGATCTTTTCCTTTTTCTTGAATTTGGATGAGGATGATGAAGAGGACAACACACTAAGAGATGAAAGCGAAATGGTTTACGACTTTGATAGTCCTGGATCTCCCAAACATAGCTCAATTGTTAAGGTGTCAAAGTTATTGGACAATTATCTAGCAGAAGTTGCACTCGATTCTAACCTCACGCCATCGAAGTATATAGCACTGGCTGAGTTACTTCCAGACCACGCGCGTCTAGTTTATGATGGATTATATCGAGCTGTAGATATTTTCCTCAAGGTAAGCTGCTTAACCTCATCCACATTATCTCACTCACCTGTTCAAAACAATTAGTATTTCTCATATGAGTAGTCTAACAATGGAAACTACACATATACTATTTTTTATACTTTTCGTATAAATAATAGCCGACAAAATATATATTTTTTATATATTAACATGTAATATACATGTTTTATACATAATTAGTATATACTTTTCGTATATTTGGTTAGTCATAAAGTTGCTGCCATGTGACCAGGAGATCACGGGTTCGAGCCGTGGAAGCAACCTCTTGCAGAAATGCAGGGCAAGGCTGTGTACAATAGACCCTTGTGGTCCGGCCCTTTTCCAGACCTTGCGCGTAGCGGGAGCTTAACTGCCCTTTTTATATTTAGCTAGCGGATGTAATTATTTTTGGCTGATCGGCCAAATGTGTTTTAATACAATGCATGACATTCTCACGGCAGGTTCATCCCAACATTAAGGACTCGGAACGCTATCGTCTCTGTAAAACTATTGATTGCCAGAAACTATCACAAGAAGCTTGCAGTCATGCAGCACAAAATGAACGGTTGCCTGTGCAAATGGCGGTCCAAGTGCTATACTTCGAACAAATCAGGCTGAGAAATGCGATGAACGGGGGACATAACCAATTCTTTGGAATGAATAATCAGTTCCCCCAGCGTTCAGGCAGCGGAGCAGGAAGCGGATGCATCTCTCCGAGAGATAACTACGCATCAGTCAGGAGAGAAAATAGAGAACTGAAGCTCGAGGTTGCAAGAATGAGAATGAGGCTTACAGATTTAGAGAAAGATCATGTTTCCATGAAACAGGAGCTAGTAAAGTCACATCCTGCCAATAAGTTATTCAAGTCATTCACAAANTACAAAGAAATTAAGCAAGCTGAATGCACTATTCCGAATAAAAGATTTAAAACCAATAGGAGGGAAAGCTAACTCAGAAAGCCGGTTACTTTTTCAGAAGAGAAGGNCACAAAGAAATTAAGCAAGCTCAATGCACTGTTCCGAATAAGAGATTTAAAACCAATAGGAGGGAAAGCTAACTCAGAAAGCCGGTTACTTTTTCAGAAGAGAAGGCGCCATTCGGTTTCTTGATGCTCTACTCTAATGTGAATAAGAAAGAGTATACAGTGTTTCACATTGCTGAATTTGGATGTGTTGAGAGTGAAGTTATTGCTTTGCGTTTTGATCGTATCCTTGAAAGAAGAGACTCACTCAAACTTTTACTATAAAGGTATATAAACAAGTGTGAGTTTTTTTAGCTTCATGTAGTTTGCACTACACGATCATCGAGAAAATTTTACAATTGCTCTTTCCCAATATTTCTTGTACTCATTTGATATTGCATGCAACTTGTTAGTGTGCATGGCTACTCAGTATCACCTGTGCCATAACGAACACACCTAGGCTCTCTGTGTAGGAACTTTTGTGAAATTTTCAGCCCTGGTGACTCTTGATGAATTCATCTCTAGGCTATGCATGATACAGCTGCTTGCATTTGGCTCCTACGACGAAACTAATAATCCAAACCCCATTACTCATCCCATCAATGCTCGTCGATCAGAAAAACTTGAATAATATTAGCTAATCATGTTATCGCTTATTCTCCTCTGGCGTTGGACACTTCCTCGTTGATATGATTCAACAGACAATAGTGTAACATTGCTTTCACAAAAAGTATTTCTTTTTTTCTTCTGTTAACTTGGGCTAAAACAAGCACCCGTGTTTCCATTTTGTTTGCTCAATTATGTTCTATGCAGCAATTAGATTGACTAGCCCTTGTCTGCAACATTTATGCTGCCCATTTCTAAGTCGATTTCAAAGAAAGGAACTGCATATATGGCTTATTACTTCATAAGATCGATTTCCCCTTCAATCTCAACGAATGGGAACTGATACCAAACATTGAGAAACGGAGATGAAGAACACACTTCAATTCCTCACTTTGAGCAACATTAAGCTCTCTACTGACAGTATACAGACAAAAATGCAAGGGAAGAATAATACATAGTGCTTCGAGTTTACTTTAAATTCAATATCAGTTCCCCGACTTAACTGCATATTGGAGAGCAGAGGACCAGACCAAGAAAGTATTAGGTTAACTCTACCAATTGTACTTTCAATGAAGAAGATGGTCTAGATAAAGAGGCAGCATCCACCTTTGACCCTGAAACAAATCCAGCCTGTAACTCCGGCAGCAAAGTGGGAGCGAAAGCAAAGGAAGATCGCAGCATGTAGGGAGCAATTGGCAGATCAGGAAGAGAAGAAGCTGATGAACTATATTGTACTGTTCCCATAGGATGATCAAATTTACAAGCGCGACCAAACTTGCAGAATCCTTTCAGTAGATAAAATGAACAAGGCTGCACCCCCTGCTTTATAAAACATACATCAGTGGAACACTCAAACATGAAGATTTACAAGAAAATACTTTCAGAGACAGTCAACCAAGAACATTTTCTAGACAAACAAGACAGAGTATAAACCATCTCTTTTTACATGGATAAAGAAACAGTAGCATTCAGCTGACTCCGTCTCCCCTAAAAAGGGAAAAGTTTTGACATCATGAAAACTCAACTGCAAAGGTAGTTCAGTCTGAGCAGTCCCATGCGCGTCTAATTATAGCGATGACAGTTGATAAAACAGTATGCTACCCTCCCAGCTCAAGAAATACTTCCAAGTGATTCGGAAATGACTAGGAAAAGCATGCTCAGTAGAAAGGAAAAAAGAGATCATTACCTCCCTTAGCTTAGCACTTATTATTACCTACCATGCACAAAAAAAAGTTACAGTTCAAATAAACAAAGTATTCAGGCCCATAGCTCTTAATAACAGCATCTGATTGAGAGCAGTAACCATCAGAGAAAGCAATAGCACACATACATTCAGTATACGCTTTGACGCCTGCAACAAAATTGTTAGGGAAGCAAAAAAAAAATACTAAGTTCATCATTTTCTTTATGACCAAACAGTGGCAGAAATTCATCTCTTAAAGAGTTTGGTGAACTATAAATCCAAATGCATAGTGAAGTCAACTAAATTTAACTAAATAGAGAACAACATTGACAAACTTAGGATTCACCCCATGGATGTAACTATACCACGGTTACAGTAATTAGCTCGAGTATTTGTTCTTTTTTTTATATCTTAGAAGGCTAGGACAAAACTGGACTCACAGAACGTCTGCCGCCAATTGCTGACACGATTAAGCAATAAAGCACAACACAAATTTCCTCATTGATGAACAGCATATTGTACGCATCCATTAATTTTCATGTTAAATGGAGACATTTTGTATGACTACATAGTTAATAAATGATGAGATCCTACAAAGGAATAAGCTCAGGTCATGAACAAACTTTATAATCTCATGGCAAACTTGAGGTTTACCTCTTGACATATTGTAATGCAGTTATACAACCCCTTCACTAAGGGGTCATTTGGTATGAGGTATAAGTAGATATAGTGCTGGTACAAAAATTTAATACCACCTTAATATTTTGTTTGGTTAGCAACCCTGGTATAAGTTATCCCGGGATTAAAATTAGTACCGGGATAACTTATACCTTGTAGGGGGTGGGGTAATTAGTGTCAGGATAGCTTATACCTTCTTCTTAGAAATTATGCGATTTTTAATACAACATACCAAAAAGTGGATAAAAAACAATACCACGATAACTAATTTCAGCATAATTAATTCCAGCATAAGCCGTATTGTAACCAAACGACCCCTAAGGTTACAAAAATCTCTGTAGAACTGCATCGGACTTTTAAACAGTTAAGAGGAACTAAACTAGGAGAACCTCCTCTTCAAAGAAATTCACACCTCAAGAAATATATAGGATGAGGATGTTAAAGCAATTCAATAAATACAGAAGAATCCAAACACCTTCTTGATTCATTCTTTTGAATTTTAACAATAAAGACATAATCATGAACCTGCAATAACCAAAATGAAGGCAGGAGACAGCTAATGCAACTTCACTAGTCAGAACTTTATAACATGTGCGCACCAAATTTAAGCAAGACTACGATCATATGAAAAAACCTCTTCCTCTACTTCTCTCCCCTCTTTCTTGTTTCATTAACTTTATCTCAAACTCACAATAAGGAACCTCAAAATCCAGCATACATTAACTATCAATAACACATTACCATGCAATAGGCAAGAATCTCAAAGGGAAAGTTTAATTATTTACCCAGATTAGATTCTAAATTGTCTTGTAAAATCAAACAAAGGGCGTAAAGAAGAAACATTATCATACCGGACGTAAAGGAAGGCCTAAGGGGCTGATAGCACAATTTGTCTTTGATGCAATCCAGTCAGGTGGATGGTGATATCTACAGGATGATCCAAATTTACAATCGCCAGTTTTCATGTAGTATTGACATGTGGGTTGACCAGGTCTCTCTGGAAAACTCTTTTCCTTCTGTGTTTTGCTCGAAGGGCTAGCAGCTGAGTGTAATGGGGAGTAAGTCCCTGCAAAGGCATGTGTAGAAGACGCTAGCTGCGATATCCCATAGATAGATGTCACCCCAGCAGATGGTTGAGCACCGGGAGAGAGTGCAGGACTTACTGGTCCCTGCAACGAGCAAATTAATCACCCATTAGAAAAGAAATTACATCATTGTAGAAGGTTGATAGAGGGAAGATCTTTGTATTACTGAGTAAGGGCTCCAGTTCTGAATGGTAACCACTCCTGGATGAAGCAGCACTGGACCATAAGCACTAGGTACATATGAACCGGGTAAAAGTGGAGGCCTTGCTACTCTAAGACCAGTTGATGCACTGTTATATTCCTCAGGAGGAGCAGGAAGAGACTGCACTGTCGGATAAAATGGACGTGCAGGTGCTGGCACTGATATACCAGCAGTTTGAGGGTGATGGTATTTACATGTAATACCAAATTTGCAATGCCCCGTTTTCAAATAATAGGAGCATTCAATTTCCCCCTGTTGTAGTTGTTGAAAATTAGATGGCTAATGCACAAAGTTAAGACAAGCATAGGCGTGTAAAACCATGAAACAATTACCGGGCGTACTGGATATCCGTGAGTATTTAGTGGTATATTGCTCAAGGATCCACCCAAGTTCTTGGGGTGGTGGAACTTGCAGGATGCACCAAATTTACAGGTCCCTGTTCTTAAATAGTACTGCGCATGAACATTATGCAATCAGCAATGAAATCAAAATTATTAAATGCTATACTACATTCAGGAAAACAGAAAACCTTAACACTTGGAGCTTTAAAAGAAACAACATGATCAAACTTCACCACTCTCTCGAGCACTGAAAACAGAGTACCTGGCACATTGGCTCTCCCAATCTTTCTGGGAACTCAACTCGTTCCAACTGCATCTTACCACCCTGAATACAAAATCACTCAGCCAAATAAATGTAGGCATTCACACTTGCCCGTCCATAAAAATATAACATATTCAGAAAAACATTTAAGCAAATGGAAGTAGCCCAATTCCACCCCCATCCATTCTCGTGAAGAAAGAGCGGGTGCAATCTACACACATGCTAACTAAAATCTTGGATCCGCCTCAGGATTGAGAAAGAACTCATTGTCGACTATGACTTCCAAATGAAAAACTCATAGAATCTGTGCGACTAACATTTGCCTTGATAACATAGGCTCAAATAGATATACAAGAAAGGAGAACAATTAGCTTAACATGAACCACCGAAGAATGTGGTGAAATGGTAAAGGATTTAGTGGTCATGTGGTTTAGAGACAAGTAATGCAGAGACTAATAATGCAAGAATTGTAACGCAAGAATTATCTCTTATTGAATGTTTAGTTTAATATATTACAATTTAGCATACATAATGTAACTTAAAATATAAGTTTAACTTTTTAAACAAAAAAAAAAGTGTGCTCGCATTATAAGGGTCAGTTTTATCATTTTAGTGTTTTTTATCTACGTATTACTAATACTCGCATTCTTATTCCACATACTATTCCGTGTAAAATAAAATGTAAATTCCCGCATTACATATTTTATTTATGATAAAAACTAAAATAGTACTACCTCCGGCCCAATTTAATTGATTTTTTGGCTGCTTTCACACATATTAAGGAATCCTTTTAACATTAATTAACAATAAAATTGACCATATTAACCTTTATTATATCTTTAGTTTGATCATGGGAAATATAATAGATACTCCAAGACTCTTTACTTCAAGGGCAACTTTTAAAAAAAAAAAAGTTAATTCTTCTTGATATCTGAAAAAATCAAATATTGTGGACTATAAAAAAAAAGCCAAAAAGTCAATTAAAGTGGTGGAGGGAGTAGTAATCAAGCATTACATAAATTAATGCTGGATTTTTTGCAGATATTAAATCTCCTCAAACTGCAAACTAGAAGAGTGGGCTTTCTAAAATAAAAATTAGTTAGGCAAGTGAAAATTGGCTAAACATGAGACCCAACCGAAGCACTATAAGGAACTTACATAGGCGCGATCACGAGGATGGTTATAGCGGCAGTTGGCGCCGTATCCACATGACCCAGTTCTCATATAGTACGAGCAGTCGGGTACACCAGGCCTTTCCGGGTAAATTTCCCTGCCCCATAACCCCAACCTCTGCATTGATTCTACATTATTCCAAAAACCACATTAGCATTGTCAAAAACCCTAGAAAAAAACACATACACACAATGTAGACATGTGAAAAAAATCAAAAAGTATAACAAGCGTAAATTCTTAAAATTGAAAAAAACCACCATCAAGACCCGTTTCCTGCTCCACCGGAACCCATTCTGACTGATGATCGGATTGTGACCCGTTACTTGCCGTGGACCGTCCGTACAGCTCCATTATTTGTGTCTCTTCTTCAATTTTCACAGTATCAAAACCAAAAAAAGGAAGAAACAAGGGATTGGGAGATCGGGGAGAGTAGAAAAGAGAGACACTTCTGGGGAAGTGAAAGGAAAGGGTTGATCACAAGAGTATATATGTACAGACATTAATGTTTACTACAGAGTATAATGCAATAAGATTGGGGGTAGAAAGAGGGGGTTACTATGGAGTACGACACCAAGGAAAGAGTGCCATCTGTATGTGATACGAGTTTTAGAGAAACAGACTTTTGGTGTCACTAAGGTTGCGTTTTCTCACTCTACACTTCAATCTCCGTACAGTGTGCATGTCCGGTTTGTTGCACAAATCAAGTATAATACTAACACCTTTCCTATTAAATAAATAAATATAAATACTATATATTATGCTATTAAATTATTTTTTAAGTTATTAATTTCATTTATTATATGTAATTATCTTTTACTTGACCTCACGCTATAATTTATAAAAGTTAAAACTTTTTATTAAAAAATAAGATCTTTGATTTGACAGTTTTATTTGATTTAAACTTATTATTATATTCTGCAATCATTTACCACTTCTCTTCCTTTTTGTTTGGAATAGAATATTAAAACGTTATTGTTCCTTATTTTAATGAGGAATGCTTATCTCAACAAAATATAACATTTCTCGTGCAAGAAAATAAAACAGAAGAAACAAATTCGAAGATACTCTAAATTTATATCTTAATAATCTAAGAATAACATTTTCTTAACAAGTGATTAATTATAATGAGAAATTAAAATAGAAATACTTCATGCTAAGTATTTCCCTTTACCCTTTAGCAATTGTTGTCTCTAACAAATTTCTTGAAAATAAACAAATAGCAGCCGACACTTGTTAACCTTGGAATTCGAAATTACTGTCATGTCCTTCACATTCTTGTCTCTTTCTTTCTTTATTTATTTTTTAAATTGATACACGTGTTAAATAGTTTATCTTACCTAAGCAACGAAAATTAAAGAATGCGAGTACTATATAGCTAGTAATATGTCCTACAGCTACTTGTCACGTTCATATATATAACCACCAATCACTATAAAGTTATATTTTTTCGAAATCAAAAAATTTTAATTATATTTTATCTCTTTATAATAATTTTTTACATATTTATAGTAGATTGCCTCTTTTTAAAATTACCTTTCTTATAACAACAATATATATATAAAATCTTTAACATTTTTTTCATTGAACAAAGCTCCCATCATGTATAATATATAAGATTTGAAAATTTGTACTCCCTTCGTTTCAAAATGTTGTCATAGTTTGATTTGGCACAAAATTTAATAAAGAAGGAAAGATTTTTGAGATATGTGGTCTTAAATAAACTATACCACATAATTTTTTTGAAACTTGTGGTCTTAAGCTTACCATAACATTTGTGTGGCTATAAATGGTTCCTATTAAGGAAATATTGAAAGGTGCCAATCTTTTTTAAATAGACTAATAAAGAAATAGTGTCAATCTTTTTGAAATAGAAGGAGTACGTTATATCTTTTTTACTAGACAAATGCCAAAAAATATTTAGATAGAAAATCCAACTGTTAAACTCTTAGATTGCCTTCAAGAGAAAGCTACTAGATAGCTTTTGCTAAAAATTTAGATACAAATCTTCGCTAATACAAGCGTTATAACGCTAGTAAAAGGACATAATCTATGAAACAACCAATAATTTTAAAGTTCTTCCGTCAATCGTGAAAGAAGTTATTCCTCTAGTAACTTTAAAATATATATCTTCGAATTTAAAATTTTGTATGTTTAATTATGAATTTACTAATAAAGTATTAGCTTTCTTCAATATTTAATTAGTGAAATATGCATATCTTTTGAGATTTTAAATGTGAATAATTTTTTATTTTTTATATTTAATAATTTTGGATAATTTGTCTATAACAGTCAAAAAATATTTAAATGACAAAATGATGTTATATGTGTATAATACACATTCACTATAAAAGTCATAAAATATCGAAACAAACGATGTTATTATAAGATAACTTTGAATATACGAGGAACTAATTCCCAAAGAAATTTCCTTGATCTAACTTCACGTCTTCTCAAGACGACTTCTCAAGAAAAATGATGTTGGCATGTTGTGAAGTGAATAATGGACTGAACAACAAAATATTACATTGTGAGTTGTTTTGAAGGTGTAATAATTAACACAAGAGGCAAATAAAAGGATTCAACACTTAATACCAAAATAGAAAAGGTAATCAACGCTTCAACTATAGGAGTGACTGACCTACTATTTTGATGCATGCTCCTATGCTCTATGATAAGCAACAATATTCCTACACATGCGTGACAAATTGCCCAAACTTACCAAAACTAATAAAATAGTGGGGGAAATGCTTTTCTTCAAAAGCTAATTTTTTTTTTCTAACAAATTTAAAAAACAAAATGTCAACTAATTAGATATACACATATCCTCCTCCCCCCTCTCCAACACACACACACTCTTTTAACTATCTCCAGTGTACCTTGCTGGCTCGAAAGAGAACGTTGTTTGGGGGGCTTTGCGGGGCTGATACCCGTTGGTACCGGATTCAAGGGATTAGTGCACCCGTCAAAACAACATCACAACATTCTTTTGGAAAGAAAGAAAAAAGAATCTATTCGAAGGGGAGATGAGAGATATTTTGTTCCACCACAAAAAATTATTTTGATTCTTGTCTTCCAAAAAATTTTCACGATATATCCAAACAATCGTTTATAGGATTTAATGATTCCTAACAACGGATTCATCTCTTTCGCTACCTGTATTTGATATGGTTATTTGCTTTGATAATAAAAAGAATAATGAATAGAAAAGAATAATGATTTGGGTCGTAGTGTTAGGCTTTAAATGATAGTGGCGAAAGTGTTATTACGGAATGTTGTTAGGGGCATTTTTTCACATTTTTTGTAGAGGAAAGGACATAGTACAGTCCAACCAACTGTATACACATACTATTGATCCCTTTTAGATAGTTTGCAATCCCAAAATAACACGCTTTCTTGAGAAGTTTTATGGCGTGCCTCGTGCAACTGACGTTAGTTGTGTGAGGTTCCTTTTTATCTCATAAATTTGTGGACCATAATCTTATATTTTTGGATTCACAAAACTGTGAAACAAAAAAAAAACTTATACAACTAGTGTCAGTTGTATGAGACACAAAATAAAAAATTTCCGTTTCCTTAGTTGTTTGGCTCATTCTGAAAATGAATATTTTTTATAATATTTAAATGTTTAAAATAATATACTAGGAAAATTTAGAAAATATTACTACTTGGGTAGTTACTTGGAAAGGCAAGTTTAATTACTTGATAATGGAATTACTACCCTATAAGTATACACCCTAGTAATTACATGTTTGTTTGCCAGAATGTAATTATCACTGTCATGTTTGATTGGACAAGTGTAATTACCTAGTTAAATAAATATTTTTTGATTAACATATTTAAATATACTAAATAATATATTAAATAATTATCAATTGATAAATAATATCTTAAAAATAGTAAGTATCTTCGAAATAAATAATACTATTACTTAAATAAATTTTAATAATGATTTAAATTTTTACCAACTCATTAATGCGTAATAAATACAAGAAAATAAAAATATTAAATAATAATAAATTGGTAACTAATATCGAAAAACTATCGGGTGTATTAACTATTTTCAAATAAATAATATCACAACTTAATAATTAATAAAAGTTTTAATTATGAATTTAAAACTTTTACCAACTCATATGAGCAAAATGTAAAATTTATGATTTGTTGCACTTTTTAAATAACAAAAAGATAAATATGAGTTTAAAAGTTAATTTTTCTGAATAATTATCTTATACTAACAAATAACAAATAAAGCTAATAAACAAATTTGTGTTTAACAATTGGGGGAGGGGGGGGGGGNGTAGAAAAAGAGCAAAATATAAGAAGTTATAAAATTATATGGAAGCACACTATAAGCATACATGTTTGAAGGTTAAAAACTGAGAATAAGAGAAGTAGAAAAAGAGCAAAATATAAGAAGTTATAAAATTATATGGAAGCACACTATAAGCATACATGTTTGAAGGTTAAAAACTGAGAATAAGAGAAATAGAAAAAGAATTATAAAAGGAAAACTCCGTTCATTTTTAGTTGTCCACTTTTAATTTTGTACTTCCTTTAAGAAAAAATAAATTAAGTATGTATTTTATAATTTTACCCATAATAATAATAACATTTTCAAAAAATTTAGAAAATAATTTGGGAATGAGAATTTATGGATAAGGGTAAAATAGAAAAAAAAATTGTCTTTCTCCTGATTTAGTATAGAGGCCAAGTAAAAGTAAAAATGTATTTTTAGTATAGTGGACACGTAAAAGTGAACAGAGGGAGTAGTACTTAATATATTTGAAAAATAAAAATAAAAAAAGTTTAGAAATGTTACATTACCTTGTAAAAATACAGTGTAATTGCCACTAATTTTCACACCCCCTTGAGAATTAAAAAGTGTAATTATACCCTCTCAATTACATACAATTTTATGTTGACCAAGTAATTACTTGGCCAGACAAATATGTCAAATTGTACAATTACACCTAATTACACCCACATGCTCCACCCACTTGTACGGGCCCCCGTCAATTCCTTTGAGTTTTATTCTTGTGAACGTACTTCCAAGGCGGGATACATAACGCGTTAGCTATAACACTGCACAGGTCGATACACATAACACCTGGTATCCATCATTTATGGCTAGGACTACTAGGGCATATAATCTCATTATTTCCGTTACCTGCTCAAACATTTGAAATAATGATTGGAGATTTTTTCAAGCCTTTAAATTCATTTTGATATGTTTTGTCTTTTAATCTTGTATACGGTTAAAATCTGGCCCACCCGATTTTACTGATTTGCCGAGATCAGAGTAAAGGATCGAAGATCGATCCTGTAATAGGTTTGATCGAGGCACGAAGGCGACGTACCAAGTTCGAGATTCGAAGCACCTGTCGATATCGAGGCCAGTAATGATCGAAATCAAATGGGATGGATGTCAGGCAAGATCAAAGATAGCATAATAACAGAAAGGCGAGATATTCGTAACTGGTCGAAAATCATAGCGGGAATCTTGGAACTGATCAAATCAAAAGCGGTTAATTAGTTAATCATGGGATTTACTTCCATAATTAGAATTGTACCATAGATAGGATTCCTCTACTATATAAAGAGGGTCTTAATCATTTTGTAACCACCTTACATTCACGCATATCAAAGCAATACAATA